ATATAATATATATAATATATATATATATATATATATATATATATATATATATATATATATATATATATATATATATATATGTATATATATATATAAATAAATAAATGAGAAGAAACTGCTATGATAGATACACTCTCATACATTTTAAACTCCCAATTCTTAATACATTGTGCTCACACAAGTAATACACTTTGACAAACGTTTATAAATATATCAAACACTTTAATCTCCTGAGCACTATACTCAAGTTAAATTAAAAATCCTCTCAAGCTAATAAAAGTCCCTTTCAACAGTTGTATTAATTTATGCAGTTGTATTAGCTGAAGCAGTTACCTATACTGAAACAGTATATATGTACTGAAGTCATCATACCAAATGCTGCAGTTGTTTAAGATAGAAGCCACTTTCCCTCAAAAAAAAAAAAAATAGAGTAGGAAATAATATTACAATTTTAACTAATGACGAATATTATGATCAAATGCTTAAAAATAAAGCATACCTTTTGGTGATATATTAATAATATATATATATATATATATATATATATATATATATATATATATATATATATGTATATATATATATATATATATATATATATATATATATATATATATATATATATATATATATATATTGAACATAAATACATATTTTATATATACAAATATTTTTTATTTATTATCTTTACGAGTAATAACATATTTGTGTTTTTAGCTGTGGGGGGGGGGGGGAATTGGGGATTGGGGAAGGGGATTGGGGAAGAAAGGAAAAGGGAAAGAAAGAAAGAAAGACAAGAAAGAAACTCAAGAAAAACATCTTCCAAGCAGTTAATACTCATCCACCTCATTTATTACTCACCAAAGTTACATAAACTGTCAAGAGGAAACAACCAACTTTATTTTAGTTAATACAAGTCATCACGGTCCATCAACAACAACAACCCCCCCCCCTCCTCCCCCCTCTACCCCCACAACCCCCCCCCTCCTCCCCCCTCTACCCCCACAACCCTCCCCCCCCCCTAACCCCCCCCCCCCCTCCCTTAACCCCCCCACCAATTGCGAATGGGACGAGAGTTGTTTTTGAAGTATACAAAAATACATGCCTCTGGGTTAATGATCATACAGATCATGAATAAATATCATTTGTATAATTGGGGTGTGTATTTATTTGGTGTGTTTTTCACACCAAATAAATTAATATTTGTGTATTACTATAATTCGAGCGTTTGACATTATATTCGTTGGTAGAGTTGTATTTTGTGTATGGTGGTCAGTGAGAAGCGGTTTTCTTAGCTTGACGGTAATAGGGAGTAATTGGCTCATATGTATACTGAGTATACTAAGTATACATAAGCAAGTATACTGAGGATTAATATACAACCATCTGATCAGAAATATTATTATGGGTCAATAATATTACCGCATAGTATTCTGCCTACTTGCTTAACACTGAAAAAAATTAATATATCATTGTAAAATGAGTTTGTGTGTTTATTAATAAAAAAAATAAAATTAATAAATAAAAATAAATATTAATAAATAATTAATAAAAAAAAACTGCATAAACCAATTAAGCAAGAGAACCAGCTATTAATTCATATTAATTATACAAACAAAAACTCCCCCGTGAAAGCCTAGAATTAAACGATATTGAAATTTCGTAAACCAATTTCGAAATCCGCATTCGAAGAACCTCAAATAACAGAAACCTAAATACTGAAATAAATATAAATAAAAATCAGTTCTTAAATGTAGATATAAACATTAAGTCTCAGACTTAAATCCAAACTCATATTATGTTCCAAAATACCTTTCATCCGCCATCACATTTTTTTTTTAGTTTTTCTTCTCTCGTTTAGAAGGAGATGTGCTTCCCCAAACGGAAAAAAAACACTGCACACACACACACACACACACACACACACTTTTAATTTGTTTTAATAGTTTCAAAGAGTTATATGACAAAGAGTGCTGGGAAGACGGGACACCACGAGCGTAGCTCTCATCCTGTAACTACACTTAGGAAATTACACACACACACACACTTTTAATTTGTTTTAATAGTTTCAAAGAGTTATATGACAAAGAGTGCTGGGAAGACGGGACACCACGAGCGTAGCTCTCATCCTGTAACTACACTTAGGAAATTACACACACACACACACACAAAAAACTACAGCCATTCGTAAATTCCCAGAAGGCGGAATCAGACGGAATTAGACACAGCCGACACGTCGCTCTGATTAATCATTCCAAAACTCTGATAAAGGTGAAAAAAAGGACAAAACGCTGTAGGGAAAAAGAATAAGATCATTCTTAAATTCCACAAGTGCAGGATTGCGTGAGGGGTGAGTGAGGGAAGGCTTTCGAGAGGAGGGGGGGGGGGGGGGGGAAGAGGTGTTGGGGGGTTGGGTTGTGGGGTTGGGGTTGGGGGAACTGCGCAGTTAGTCAGGTCATGCACTGCGCAGTCTGTCTACGGCGGCGCCAACTGCCTGCGCATTCGACTCATCGCTGCGCACCGATCAATACCCGAAATTATAGATGCGTTCTGCAATATTTTCAGTGTCACGTTTTTAGCCCCTAAAAATTGTTTTTTTGTAATAGGTTGCGAGTATGTATGCGTGTGTATATATGTATGTATATATAGATGTATGTACGCATTCTAATTGTGTGTGTGTGTGTGTGTGTGTGTGTGTGTGTGTGTGTGTGTGTGTGTGTGTGTGTGTGTGTGTGTGTGCACGCGCGTTTATGTGCGTGTACTGGGTTGAATGAGAATTGGGGGGGGGGGGGGGTTGAAAACAGAACACAGGTGAACAGAATAGGGGTTATGGAGAGGGGGGAAAAAGGGGGGGTAGGAGGGTTAGGTTGGGGTGGCTGAATGGGGTGGACTTACAACCCCATCATTTGAGGGTGTTAAGTCCACCTTCCCTACCCTTCATCCCCCCCCCCAAAGCATCTCTCTGTCTCCATATTCACTGAAAATATTTCTCCTATGGAGTATCCTTATTATTTAATAGTTGCCCCTTAGAATCTGTCCTATTTTAAACCGATTATAAAGTCTATGGACTTGGTGTTGAACATTTCACATCCAGAGACTTGGCGAAGGAGGTTGGGCTTTGGGGTCTTGTCCGCCTCCCCCGCTATGTTACTCTCGATATCACCATTAATCTTATAAAATTTAAGGAGGCTAGCCCCAAGCCTCTAGCCTCGAACAGATATTCTCTCATATAGATATATATTATGGTAGATAGGTTTCGCTCCACCACCTGTCCTCTCCAGCACCGCCTGTCCTTTCACCCCACCACCT